GAATTAAGCTAAAAGAACTACATAAAAGTGGTTGTGAGAAGAAAATGTGTCAAAAAACACTATATATAGGCATTATCGCAACTCATCGTACCCACAAAGCAGTCTATCGTGCGTGTGATACTAACGATGATCTCAACAGTCTGATCTAACGGCTTGACCTAATGGATAGTTATGCGAAGGTTATATCACACCCACAATACCATCAATCGTGCGCACGATGCTCTTCTAACGCGCCCATCATGGCGCGTGAGAGATTCAATGGCACTTTTTCTTTTCTTCCTCTTCCATCTACTATTTTCCCAACTTTCTCAAATTTTCCTCCAATTTCATACTAAAAAATGAACATGATTAATTCAAATAACATGGAATTTAAATTATGATTAAAATAAAAATTACTGATAGGTTGCCTCCAATTTAGTGCTTCTTTACCGTCATTGACTTGACGATTAATGTCTAAGGTTTATTAGGTGCAATGTGTACACTTACGCTGGTTAATTTTTCTCCGCTAACTCCTTCACCACTCTTAGATAACTCAACTTTGTAGCAGGCATCTAGGTCTTCAATATGTTGTGTTTATTCCCACGCATCGAAGACTACTTCTTTCTCGTTGAACTTCAAGGTCAATTCTTCCAATTCCACATTGATTAGTGTTTTTTAGGTTGGCAAGAAAGGTCTTCCTAAAATTAGAAAAGCATTAGTGTCTTCATTAATATCCACTATCACAAAATCTTTCGGAAACACCAATCCTTCCACATATACTAGTACATCTTCTATAACCCCGTACGGATGAGTGATTGAGAGATCGACCAATGTTAGAATCATATTTGTTCATTTTAGACCTCTCGATTTTAGCTTCTTTGGTAGTCTAAAAGGAATTAAGTTAGTGTTAGACCACATATCACATAGTGCATGCAGATTTTTTTCTTCTCCTATGGTACATGGAAATGGTAAACCTTCTAAGATATTTCAACATTGGGGGAAGTTTTATTTGGAGTAAAGCATTACACTCTTCTGTCAAAGCAACCGTTTCACCTATACCCGCTTTCTTATCTCTTGACATAAACTCTTTCATAAATTTAACATACTTAGAACATCAATTGTAATATTTCATTAAAAGAGATACTTACTTGAAGTTTGGCAAGCATCTTTTTGAACTTCTTGAAAAGTCCTTCTTCAGCTGCTGCCTTTTGTTTCTTCCTTATGATTGGATACGTTCGTTTGCCATAGTAAGGTAGTTCAGGGATATGATCATGTAGGATTCGCTTCTTAGTCCTTTTCAAGGGTGAGTTTTTATCTATAAATTTATCAAGTGTATCCCCCTTCACATAGTAGTCACTCGCTCTTTCACTCACCTTTTTTTCCTTTTCGAATTCTACCTCTTCTTCAATATCCCATACTTCTCACAAATTGCATCTTCCCTCCGATTTTATTCTACCCATAGCCTAACTTTATGGCTTTACTAGTCTCATTCTTTGGATTATAGATAATGTTACCAATAAACCCTTCACTAGAACCTAATATTGAGGATACCTGGCGTGGCAGTTGCCCTATCTGCATCTCTAAGTTTCTTATTGATGTTTCATGTTTCTTGCTCTAAATTTTTTAAGAGTTTCTTCAAGTGGTGACTGTTTCCCCTAGAATGGAGTTTATTGTGCTTGTTGAGTACCATGATTAGCATTCACGAATTACCTCGTCTTCACAAATTACTTACTAACTTTCCCTGAGTTGCATATTCTCTAAGGATTATTGGAACTCTTCTCAAAGCATGAAGTGCACATTCAAACTTTACTTAACTTTACGCTTCTTGACACCCGATACATCTCTATCTTTCTACAATAACCCTCTACTTTTATGAAGTGCCTTGTAGGTAGTTTTAATGGTAGCAACGAGTTGACTAATACAATTCATCTACTCATACCTTAATTGAATTTTACTAATCTTGTGTCTGAGGTAGACTAACCATGTAATCCATAAAAATATTTCCCCCTTCCACTATGAAATTTCCAATGGTTGCAAATTTCCACATAGTCACTGATGTTTGATCTTCATTGTGACATATCCAGAATTATGCCATGAGTTCTTCGATCTTTACTTTCATGCTATACTACCAAGAATTTCTCCTTAACTCACAAAATATATTGGTTGGTTGATAAAAATACTTCTTTTTTTCAACTGTACTGCCCCTAGGGTTGGGCTCTCACAAAAGTTATGCTGCCTTCCCCTGGGTGTAAATTTCCTCAATTATTCCCTTGAGTGTCCAACCGCCTCTTAATTACTAGATGATTGCTTCCCCTATAAATCTTCGAGTTTTCCATCTCCTAAAACTTATGAAGTTTACTAGGTCTTCTCAATCCCACTACTTCCTTTCTAGTTCTTAACAACATGATCTTTCCTAACACACATTAATACTAAATTGATTAGACTTAATACTTATGAAATGATAGAAAGATTTTATAGAAGAGTTTTCAAAACATCATCATTTACTTCACATTAATTAACGTAGTTAGGTCATGAACCGACCTACTCTGATACCAAAAATGTAACACTATAATTACATGTGTGGGATATAGTTGCAGTATTTAATATATGATAGTGGATACAAATTCGTAATTCAATTCAAGAATCAGATCTGATAAAATATTTATAATACAACAAGTCTAACTGATATATCATCTAGCATACAACGAAAATATGATCCAATAGGTCTTCAATATCAAGTCCTCAAATAAGAATCCAATCCGAGCACCCACTTATCTGAAAAATCAATAGAACAACATGGGATGTGCTACATATTGATCTTAGTGGGTTTCTAAACTAAACCACTGAATCTCTCAATACCATTTTACCCAGTTCCTGATACAGTTGCTTAATCCATCAGGGTGACTCACATATCTCAAATTAGACTGTTAGAATCATTACTTATCTTATATATAATCTAAAGAGACGTCAGCAACCATAAAACCCCTTAGTAACTTACATGAGTCATGAACCCGCAGGGTCCCTCCCATAAGCATAACCTCTAGATTGTCTATCCTACTACCACTCATAGGATCTGAACTGTCTATAATCCCTTACAACTAAGCATAGAATTGAGAGTGCAGCCATCCCTTGTAACTCGTAGGTTATGGACTATACAAGTTAATACTCAACTATCAAGCGTGATGTGCATATCATAGACTATCCAACTATAACTCATAAGTCTATGGTCTCGAGCGTGTCTAAGAGTGCCGTCAGAATTATACCTTGTGACTAGGATAATCACATCCATTCAAGGTTAACTCCCAAACACACAACATTTTAAGATCGACAATCCAATACTCATGAACTTGACCTGATAAATCATTATATCCATTACTTGGCTATCTAAGTTCAAGTTAACACACCCTATAACTAAGTTCGACATAACATAACAACAACAACAACAACGAAAATATCTAATGTAACTAAAGTATGTAATCATGAACAAAGCTAGGGGATTATCCCCTCGCAAACGTATCTGACACGTCTGAGACCCTCTGTGGCTCTAGTCTGTGTCTATGTCTGTAGCGCAATAGTCTGATTTTTTTACATTACATTTTGCGAGGGGCTTATCCCCTAACCAATTTTGCGAAGGGCTTATCCTCTAGCCAATAATTTCTGATGTCCTGATTAGCTAGGGGCCCTGTCCCCTCGCAAATTGGTGTTTTGTAATGGATTTTTTGGTTTAGTGAGGGGTTTAACCCCTAGCTAAATACGGTTTTTCTTGTAGTGTATGTATTAAAGTCTTTTTTTTTACAAAAGTAAGAGTAATTATATATGGATTAATAAATTGAAATAAGTTAAGTAAACATCAAAATAAAATAAATATAAATCAATATATATATATATATATATATATATATATATATATATATATATATATATATATATATATATATATATATATATATATATATATATATATATATATATATATATATATATATATATATATATATATATATATATATATATATATATATATATATATATATATATATATATATATATATATATATATATATATATATTACATTTCTCACTTAAAATTATGAGACAATTTATTTAAAACTTTTAAAATATAATAAATTTATAACATTGTGAACATTTCATTTTAAAATTTCTGAACCATAGATTTTTTTTATAGAAATGAAATATGCAAAGCACAATAATGAATCATAATAAATATTTTCTGAAGAATAACATGTGATTTTTTTTTTTTTTTTTTTTTTGCATAACTTTTAATTTAGTATAAAGCAATGTTTTGAGATCAATTAATAGTGGCTTCCTATATACAATAAATTGTACAGTACTATAGTACTTTTTCAACCAAATATAGGAACTAGTATACTTGAGAAGACCAATTAACCATTTGGTGGAACCAGACTACCAGCAAACCAGTTGAAATCAAATTTAATGCAACAAAACAAATGTAATTAAATATTTTGGACTACATGCATACACATATAACTGTTTCATTGATTTATGTTCTTTTGTTTATATTCATGCATATATCTTCCTAAGTACCATTTCAGTAGGATGTATTATCTTATCTATATTTCTCTTATAATTATTTATTTATGTGTTACCTCAACCTCATACTTTCTTAGCTGCTGGGCCCAAAATGTTAACTTATACGGTTCATGTCTTGCTGTATAGAAAACGATTGTGCATCTTTATCATTTATGTCACAAATATTCAAAGGACCAAATTGGCTTATAATAACACTTCTCTTGTTAGTTATTTATCATGTCTTGTCCAAAAATACACTGCCCTCAAATTCATTTTCCGCTTTGTCACTTCTTTCGTTTGTGAATGAATGATATCACATGGCTATGTACCTTATCCGCACAACACTCTTCATACATTACCATATGGTGTTGTCTAAATTTTTTGAGTATATATATGATACCAAATGATAGATCATAACTTGCACTGCACCATAGTTTAATTTACTCTCTAGATCTTCATAAATTGAAATCATGATAAGTGCAAAAAGGGTAATAAAAATGGCGAAAAAGTGGCAAAAAATGGCTGTTCGGAGACGCAAGAGGATCTCATACCTGAGAAATGAAGTTGGTTTGAAATCTTCGGCGGTAAATAAGGGTCACTTTGTTGTTTACAGCTTTGATAGTAAGCGATTTGTGGTTCCTCTAGAGTATCTTAACACTAACGTGTTTAGAGAACTCTTTAAATGGTCTGAAGAAGTGTTCGGGTTGCCGGGGAATAGACCTATCATGTTGCCGTGTGATAGTGTTTTCTTGAACTATGCAATCTCGTTAGTTCAAGAACGGATTCCTGAAGATGTGGAGAGAGCTTTGATCACTTTCATGTATGCTTGTCACAACAAGGCATCCTCTAATTCCTGCCATGATGTTAGGCAAAAAAGTGAGCAAATAGTTATCTATGGCTTTTGAAGAGATTTTGAAATTTTTTGTCTAAGAATTTCAAAGTACAAAGCTTTTGTAGCTTGTTCTGATATACTTCAGAAACAGTTTTGTATAACTAATGATGAGAAGGAAATAATTTTTCTCGCCACTTATCTTATTATTTTAAATTAAAAATATCTAATATAGTCTCTACAATATTACCCATAACAGTCCCGACTTTACATGTAAATATATCAACTTTATGGCAGAGAGAATCCATCAATTAATAAGTTTGATTTTCAAGCACCATAAAGTTCATTAAAGGGGGCATAGTTTCCTTAACGGGTCTTTATGGGTCTTAAATATAGTGCAGACCAAAACCAATATATAAAGGATGCAATCATAGAGGGAAAGGACAAACACTTTTTCATACGATATATACTCATGCTTGAAATTCTGTCTGGTTTAACACCAGTAAAGTTATTAATTATTGTACTCGACGTGTACATTTGGCACACATCGGGAGGTCTGTTTAAACTAGCTCGAGCCACACAATCATATATAACAACAACCCATTATCGTCTTTTGGTGTCTATATGGTAATTTGGCATGCCTATTAATATTGTTGTATGTTTGTTATTCTTTTCAATCAATCTACTTGTCGTTGCTACCACTCTAATTTGCTATGCTCAAATAAACTCTATTCCGATGTTAAGTGGGATGAATTTCAAGTCCTAAAAAGATTCTATGGAGATCGTTCTTGAGTGCATGGACTTAGACTTATCCTTGAGGGAAGAACGTCACACCGCCACTAATGAGAACTCAAATGAAACTAAAATAGAAAAACGGGACAGAGCTAAGCGAATGTGCCTCATGATGAATAAAAGATTCATACTTGAAATGATTAAGGGTTCTATTGATGAGAGCGACAACGCCAATAGGTTCCCAAAACTATGGAGCAATTTGTTGGGTAGGAATGTGGAGTAAAGAAACAATTTAGAGGGGTGAATAGACCCTTTTTAAAAATTTGACCGATTTTTAAACAAAAATATCAAAGTTTTTAAATGCGGAAGTCTTAAAGCGAAAAATAGAGATCTTATACTTTAGTTGGAAATCAATCACGACTACAAATAAAAAAATTCATAAATATCTCGGATTGATCAGAGATTCTATCTAAAGTTTTACAAACTACAATGAATAAACCTTTGGATGATCATTTGTCATGGATATTTCCAATTATCTCTTGATAAATGATCTTCAATGAAGGAACACAATAATCAGTAATTATTTTTCCTCTTCCTAGATATTCATTAATGATGCATGAGAAAAATCAAAGCAGGGTTCGCAAACATGAACTTTTTTATAGTCATTGCTTCAAGCATCATAGAAACCTTTGGGAAGGGTTATAATGAACTCTTTCACCAATATTGGATTGAAGGGACCAACATTGACCACAGTCTGCAGGACAAGTGCATCATCAAACAACTCAGTTATCTCATAACTACTCTTGTCATCCTCAAATAACTCTCTCAGGGGCTATGCGTATATGGGATACATACTTCCATTTTATAACACTCTACTCATATAGGAAGAAGACATTATCTAATGGAATAATATGAACATTTGCGGAAACTTCTTTCCACGCACTACTCTCTTACTCCTTTTAGCAGTAGGGTTCAAAATGTCATCCGGAATCATATTTGAACACATTATTATCAGGGGCTTTATGTTTTTTACTATAGTATTCTACTTTTCTCCAGTGGAATTTTTCCATAACCCGAAGTCGTTGTTACTGAAAAATTTCTCTATCTGCATCTACTAACCATGGTGCGCACTTGTCAACAATATCTCTTTGCTCCACGCTCACCGCTCCATTTGTTGTGGATTTTGTTGTGAATTACGACAAAATTCAATATTAATTTGTGAGGCAAATAACAATAGCAACCAAAATAAATGGTCTTCAGCAATAATAATCCATACACATACAATATAACAGAATAAGGCAAAAAAATCGAAGGTTTGTTTACCCAGTTCGATCAAACGATCTACTCTAGAGGAGAGAGCAACTCTCCAATTCACTATACTCAGAAAGTTGTTACAAGATATTATAGATGAGTTACAAGAAAATAGTTTTCGCCTTCAGGTTTCTTAGAACAACCCTATAATATATGAATCACTCAAACCCAAGGTGTAACAGTGTTTCACAATAACCTTAAATAACTCCAAAGGTTTACCTAAACCATTGCTTTTCTATAGTTTTCTTTGTGAATAGCTGAAACCCTATAATATGCCTTTAAACCCTTGTTCTTCCTTATTGGTGTAAACTCTAAGATTGTCACACACTAAACATATAAAAGATACATATTTATAATAGCAAATACCCAACAAATAAAGCCCAAAATCACATGGATCCATGGACTGAATCGAAAAAAGCCCGAAAATACTATTCACCGTACGGATAGCTTTATTCACCATACGGATGTCACTATTCACCGATCAATTTTTTTCCTTGACTTTTCGTCTGATTTTCACGGTAAGTGCAATCTCTAAAATATGTTTTCTTTCTCTTCATTAACAAAGGTTTTAAGGCACATTTGCAACAACATACAACACATATTTTTACCTCAATCACATCCCAAGTCACAATCTCCCACGTCTCCTGGATCATACTCTTACACTCCTCTTGGTTCACCTTCTTCTACACCTCTTGGGTCACTCTCCTGCATAGTCTCTCATTCCTTTTCTAATATTTCCTCTATTGTCACGTGCATCTTCTCCTCAAGCCTCTGATTTACTAGCTCTTCAATTGTTTTTGCGTATTTCGTCACTCTTTGATGATGATTTAAAAAATAACTTCAGGTTGAAGCCTAGTCCAACACGATGGACACACCTATCATGTTCATTTATTCCAATCACTTATACCCATCACTAGTAAAAAAGTAAATTTTTAGCAGAGGTTTTTAAGTCAGTTCACTTGCCACCTGACTTAAGAAATGATACGGTGGTAATTTCGTAAATATTGGCAACTTAGTTAGGTCGGGTGCATTTAAAACCGACCTAAAAAAGATTAAAAAAATATATAATTTATATTAAATTTCTTAAATCACATGTATGTGTTTATTAATTGACTTAAAAAATCTAGTTTTTAAGTCAGGTGTCAGCCACCTGACCTAAGAAGTTTTATATACTCCTAACAAAGCTCGGGTTCGATTCCAACTTGGAACTGAAATAAAACAATAATACTAAAAAATCTTCTCTTCCTCTTCATATCCAGATTTAGGTTTCGTCACCATACTCACTCTTTTCTCTCCAGGTTCTCTCTCTTCTCCCTAGCCGCCACTCTCCTTCGAAAATCCCCTTTCCTTCTTCATCTTTCCCTCACCGTGAAATACCATCACCATCGTCCAACTACCCTCCACCGTAAACCCTCCGATTTCGTCTTCCTCTGTCAACTTTTCATCTCCTTCTCATCACTGAGAAACCCTTCACACCATCTCAACCCTATCCTTTATTTTCACCGTAAATCCTCAGTCCACCATTGAAACCCCTCAAACCTTTGTTTCCGCCGCAATACTACCAGTGTCTTCTTCTTCATCAACAAATCCTAACCTCAAAACCCTCGTCGATACGCCATACTTCGTTATCCTTCACGCAACTTGCAGACAATATTAAAAAAGGTGGCTCAGCGGTCAAGAGTTTGTGCTGGCTAGTTACAACTCAACAGCTCGCGGAAATAATTGTGACTCGGTTTTGGAGCAGTGGTTTGATTAGAGGTGGTACATTGTTACCATTCGAAATGGTGAGTGATTCTGTTATGCGATACCATACTACAGCAGCAACTCGAAGGAATGGAATTCTTTGACTAATGATCCTTATATGGTGGTAATCGATGTACAAAATAACTTTGAAACCAGAATACGAAAGCTTATAAGAGTTGTTAGTCCCTGCACGACATCATTTCGCGGAGTTGTTCGTGTCGACACTACGGTAAAATTTTGAAACTCTCTGCGTAAGCATCTGTAATAAATATCACTTAGTTGCGTGAAATTTTTGATAGACTGTGTAATGTTGCTGCTGCTAGTTCAATGAGAGCGATCATGGCAGAACGTCGATCCATGTTTGGAGGAAGAGAACATTCCGGAAGGTTGATGAGATTGAGAGAATCAGAGATGGGAAGTGATTTAGTGTAGACATCAGTTTCTGTGGTATTTGAGTATTTCATGAATCATGATCAAGATGGTTATGTGGAGACGGTTATCAGGGTTGATAATGTTTTGTTTTGTGTTTAGATGATGTGTGCAAGGAAGTGGAGTGTGGGAAAGGAACATGCAAAGCTTCTAAGAATAGTGTTATTCCGTTTGAATGTGAGTGTGATCATGGTTGGAAGAAAACTTTTGATTCCAATGATGATGGTGGCTTGAAGTTTCTTCCTTGCATCATTCCTAATTGTAAGAATTGACAAAAACTATTTACTATTTATGTTATGGTTCTTTTTTGATTTTGTATCTGTCTGAATTGACTTATTTGAGTTTATCTACCGAGATAAAGATTGTTCGAAGAGTTTATAGAAACAACTTATGACATTCAAAAACATGTTTTTGTCGTTTGTTGTAGAAATATATTACTATACTTATGCACTTATGCTATAAGCACTTAATTAAGTTGTTTACTCGAACTATGAAAAGAAAAAGCAGTTATGTGGTGTGTTTTCTTGAGATGATGAGTGTTTGTTTTAGTTGCAATTTTTTTGTTATTGAAAAGGTACATGGTATTTGGTGAAATGTTTAAAAGAAAGGAACCAACTAACAACAAAAGAGGTGGAAATTTTACCAAACTTTCTTGCTTAATTCTAGAAATTTTATTGATATGTTGAGATGATATCAATTCTAGGCACATTGGAATACTCTTGCTCTAAAGCTCCTGCCCCTGCTCCAGAAAAGGCAAGAAAAGCCAACGAGTCGATATTTGATGGTAACTCAAAGATATAACTATAGGGATCTCAATTTTCTGTGTGATTTTTTACCTGCTATTGTAACATTTTGTTCATA